TTGTTTTGGAAGATGCTTTGTGTTCTTGTCAGGATGCCAGTGACCTTGAAACTCTCAAATATTTCTCAGGAGATCGTGGATTTTTGATGAGCTAAGTGGCTTTAGGGTCCCTTCACTCCTACTCCTGTCCCCTGCACTGGGTAGGCTTGCGAACATTCATGCCTTGATATTTTTAATTGGATATTTCCACATACAGCAATTATCTTAGAACAGAGGGCTTTTTGACATGCAGGGTGACAGGGTAGGCATGCTTCACTACAAGCCCTACTGACATCAGGGTCAATTGAAATGGAGTCTCAGTCTTTCCCCAACTGGCCCTGTTGATGAAAGTCCTGCAGCTTCCAGTCCCAAACATACAAACTGAGGGGAAATGAGACTTCCTCTCAGCTTCGACCAACTAAGCTGCACCCTTCTGGCTGTTCGGGTCTCATTTACGTAGTCCTGAACCCCTTAGGAGCAGCTCTCAGCTTGGACTTCCGGCTCTCTGCATAGAGCTGCTGGTGAGGGTGGGTGTTGACTCAGGGTCATCTATGGGCTCATGTTGATGGCTGCCTGGGAGCTCAGAAACCTTGGCCTGCCTTGGGTTCGGAAGAGTCCCCTGGGTCCCACCAGCTATTGCTTTGCTGCGGAAAATAGCCCAGGGGCTTCAGTTCTTCCTTCTCTGGCCATATCCAGAGGTCCTACCTACCTTCCTTTGTTGTCATTACCTCGCCTTCCTAACTTCTAAAACGTACCTAATTTTTCTTCTTGACCACGGGCATATTATTCTCTTTCCTAGAAGCAATAATCTAATCCTTTGGAAGAAGGTGGGGTCTGAGGGTATGATTAACAACGCATCGCTTAACGATGGGGATATTCTGACAAATGCATCGACAGGCAATTTCGTTGTTGTGTGAGCATCATAGAGTGTACTTATACAAATCTAGATGGGACAGCCTACTACATACCTAGGCTACATGGTATAGCCTATTGCTTCTGGCTACAAACCTGTACAGCATGTTACTGTACTGAATACTGTAGGTAACTGTAACACAATGGTAACTATTTGTATATCTAACGATACCTAAACATAGAAAAGGTACAGTAAAAATATGGTATAAAAGATAAAAAATGGTACTCCTGTACAGGGCACTGACCATGAATGGAGCTTGCTGGGCTGGAAGTTGCTCTGGGTGAGTCAGTGAGTGAGTGGTGAGTGAATGTGAAGGCCTAGGACATTACTGTACACTCCTGCAGACTTTATAAACACTGTACACTTAGGCTACACTAAATTTATAAAAAGTATTTTTTTCTTCAATAATTAATCTTAGCTTACTATAACTTTTTTACTTTATAAACTTTATTTTTTTTAACTTTTTGACTCTTTTGTAATAACAGCTTAAAACACAAACACATTGTACAGCTGTACAAAAATATTTTCTTTCTGCATATCCTTATTCTATAAGCTTTTTTCTATTTTTAAAATTTTTAATTTTTTTTTTCTTTTACTTTTTAAACTTTGTTAAAAACTAAGACACAAACACACATTAGCCTAGGCCTACACAGGGTCAGGATCATCAATATCACCGTCTTCCACCTCCACATCCTGTGCCCCTGGAACGTCTTCAGCTGCAATAACATGCATGGAGCTGTCATCTCCCATGATAACAATGCCTTCTTCTGGAATACCTCCTGAAGGACCTGAAGGTTTGTTTACACCAGCATCACCACAAACACGTGAGCAATGGATTGCGCTACAACGTGACAAGGGCTGCAGCATCACTAAGTGATAGGAATTTTTCAGTTCTATTATAATCTTATGGGACCACTGCTGTACATGCAGTCCATCGTTGAACAAAACATCATATGTGGCACATGACTGTAATTAAGATTGATTAAAAATAATTTTTGACTCTCATCCCCGATTCTTTCCTGTCCACCAGCCAGCGTTTTGTTCTCTTTCCCACAGCAAGCAACTTTGTTGCCAAGAATTGACTTTTTTTCCTAGCTTTCTTGCATTTCCAGTATTTTATTTTGGCTGTTTGAACTGGGAATAAAGCCTGCTAAAGACTTAATGGGTCCCAGCTTCAAATAATTGCTGAGATGATATTATAGAAATCTATAGGCCTTTACTAGCTACATATCTATCCACTGTAGGGGTCTGGTTTCCGGATTTTCTCAGGAAGCAGAAGATGGTGGTGGGGGCTGAAGAAACAGCAAACAGTATCCTTAAATACCAAGAGCCTTCCTAGTTAGACCCTGTATTCCAGAGTCCCAGGTAACCTCATTATGGAGCAGTGACAGAGTCTTGCTAAAGTGACTCACCCCAGCCCTGATTTAGGGGCCAGTGTAACAGAAGGATGTGGACTAGACAGAGCCATGACTGAAGCTGGACCAGAGCCCAGCCCTCTTAACTCCTAGTTGAATCGTCTCTTGGCAAGATGGCACAGGAAACAATTTTAGGGCCCCAAGGGTCCCATGTAAAGTGAGGGTTTTGGGGTTTTGATCAGCTTTCTCCAGTGGTGCAGTTAAAGGTGTTAAATATTTCATCAGATTGGCAGGGACACCGACCAGTCAATGGACACCAGCATTAATCCTTTAGTGGCTGAATTGTGGGAAGGGCAGACGTGGTGGCAGGAGGAGCAGTAGCTGTTGCCTGACCAGCACGGTAGCATTTCTATCTGTGCGAACTGGCTCTAAATCTCTGGGCTTCAACCATAGATGTGAAAAGAAACTCTGACCTAGAGCACCAGAGGCTTCAAAGACACAAGTGCAGATCTGTGTGATTACCGTCTGGCTGTTTGAAAACTTTAAACAAACAAACAAAAGACAACTTGAGATTTTGCCCAGAAATGGTGTTTCCTTGTATATATAGGCTTCTAGATTTCTACTGAGACACAGGAAAACTTTGCTTCTCCCCCCACCCCCAAATACAGGACGAGTCCTACTAGCAATGAGGTTTCACTTTCTATCCTCTACCTACAGAGAAACAGATCAAAATCCTGTGGCTGACACCACTGAATTTTAGGGGTGGGTGCCTTAGAAACAAGCATTCATATGCTGATCACAAACAGCCTCATCTCTTGGTGAAAACATGGCAGCTAATGGCCTTTATTTTGATTGTAAGAACATGTTTTGAATTTTGTAGGATTTGGATGAGGTTTCTCTATAATTACAAATCATAGAGGGCTTTATTTTTTCCTTCAAGGCTTTTCAGCCTTATGAAATTGAGAGCTGATAGGGATCTGGAGGTAAGTTTGGACATAGATGTGGATTTGAGCTGGAAAACAGAACTGATGCTTGCAGGCTAGATGATCAGCCAAAAGAGAAGGAAAAGGCCAGGGAGTCAGAGGGGCCACACATAAGTGTCTGCATGTGGGGAGACCCCACTCCGGTGAGGCCTTCTTTTCCCCTAACTCCCTGCTTTCCTCTTCTCCTTCCAAAGTGGCATCTTCCTGGTGGTTGGTCATGATATGGCAGAGCTGCTGAGCTCTCCCAGGTGTGGGCGATGACCATGGCGATTGTGGCTTCACTTTTCTCTTCCCTTGATACTCGGTGGGGAGGGCTCAGGCCCGGGGCCCCTGGTAAGATATGATTTGAAACATTTGTCTGTTTCTTGTTTTCTTGGCTGCTTAGTCATTCATGCCAGCAGACTCTGCTGAGACCACATGAAATGGCCAAGTCATCGGGCAGTGGGAGGCTTTCTGCCCGGTTGGTACTGTACGTCTCTGTGGGCACGAAGGTCAGAGATGGCTATGTCAAATCACCGTGGCATCGCTTCTAGGGAGCCTGGAGCATTTGGTTGTCTCTCCTCCACCCTCCACCTCCATACCCTGTACGGTCACCTGTTACTGTTCCTCCAGGAGGGAAGGGACAGACGGTTTATTCTCTGATTTACTGGTAGGGAACTGTGACATGGGCTTGCCCTGCAGGCAGTTTAACCAGCAGAATCCAGTCTTCTGCTCTTGGGCCTCTGCCTTACATCAGCGGTTCTGGCCTCCATTCTTGTTCTCCTATGAAAGCAAAGGCTTAAGCCAGGAGGGGTTGGGGACACTGGCAGGAGTCTTCCTCTTAATACATGGATGCCAAAGCCCCAGCTGTTGGTTTTCACACTCGTCCTGTCCTCTTCCTGTGGCCCAGAACCTGGCTCCTACAGTGGAGCAACAAGAGGGGCAGGATGGATGGAAGTGGAAGTTGCCTCAGGAGGGAGAAACCTGACCTGGCCACAGAATCTTTTCTCTATTGTGCATCCCTACTCAGCTCTGACTAGAACTTCAGGGTCCTGGAAAACCACTTTTCTATAGCATCTGCAATGTATTGGGCCAGCTCTGAGGCCTGGCTTCTCTGTTTTTTAATTGTTTAGGGGTCTTCCTTGTCCTGTGCTACCTCACCTGACTCCTACTAATCCTTCAGGTCTTGGAAAAGTCATTCCTCCAGGAAGCCATTCTTAATTCTTTCCCACCCCATCACCTACTCCCCAGCCCCTGGTTATAGTCTCCCTTATCACTCTATTCTTCCCTGCAGATCATTCACCACGTGTTATTGTAAAACTGTTCTCACTGACATGAGAGGCAAGGTATGGGTCTGTCATGTCCACAGATTTATCCTCAGTGCCTAGAACTTGGCAGGCTCTTCAAATATTTAAATGAAAGTGGGCTTGTATTTTCCTAAAGTTTTTAGGTTTTTATTTGAGCTATTTAAAGTTTTTGTTTGACCTCACTTCTTTAGATCAGGGGACAAAGGGGAATTTGGTTTTGAAGCTATTGAAATGAAAGCATCTGTGTCCAGTACCCAGCCTTGTACATGGGTCTGAAACTCAAGTAAAAAGGTCATCCTTGGTGAGATAGGGCTGGAAATCTTAGCAAGTCCTGGGAAGTGGCCTCCTATACCCCAATGTGGCTACCCACACAGTGTAGATTTGTTGTGATCAGAAGAACAGAATTATAGGAGATGGAGGACAGTGTTCTCACTCCAATTAGATTTTCTTTCCCATGGATTTATCCATTTGTTTTTCATCACAGAAATGGCCTCCACCTTCAACCCCCGAGAATGTAAGCTGTCCAAACAAGAAGGACAAGCCTATGGCTTCTTCCTGCGAATTGAGAAGGACACTGATGGCCACCTGGTCCGGGTGATTGAGAAGGGTAGCCCAGCAGAGAAGGCTGGCCTCCAGGATGGAGACAGAGTTCTTAGGATCAATGGTGTCTTTGTGGACAAGGAAGAGCATATGCAGGTGAATGGGACGTTTGGGATTCTTCTTCCAGGATCATTTTAGCCCCTACATCTCTGCTGATTATAGCTTTTGGGGTCAGTGGAGCTTTCCTGGCTGCCAGTGGCAAGGCAGGACACCTTTATGGCTGTACTTTCTGCTGGCTAATCAAGTTTCCTACAATTAACCAAGAACTGTAAAAATTATTCCTAAATTTGATTGGTGTCAGGTCTAATATGCATTGCATGTTTGCTATGGAACTACGCTAGGCAATTTCATAGTCATTATTTTGTTAAATCCTCATCACAACCCATGAGGTACATATTACCATTTTATAGATGAGGAAGTGGAGGCTCAGATAACATAGCTTGTTAATATGTTCATGCAGGGAACATATGGAGTGTCTGACCTTACCCCAACTCTGCCTGCCTCCAAGTGGGTGGTCTTTTCACTACACCATGCTGTCTCCATAGACTCTGGAGGACCTATTGTGCTGGAGGGCAGCATTCACCCCTGGAAAGAACCAGTCCTTCTAGGGGTTCCCTGGGCTGGGGTGGGGCCACACTCTAGGTTCCAACAGTGCTAAAGGGCCAACCCAATCTGCATCTGGATCTCAGGAGGGCTGAGGTGGAGATGGCTGGGGCACTATTTGCTGACTATTTGGATGTCAGGGGTCAGCTATCAGAATCTCCAGGGCCAGATAATGAGCCGGCTAATGAGCATCCCTTATGGCGATTGATAGAGGGTTATTGGTTAAAGTTATCTTTTTCTTTCTTCCTCCTAGGTTGTGGATCTGGTCAGAAAGAGTGGGAATTCAGTGACTTTACTAGTTCTAGATGGGGATTCCTATGAGAAAGCCATGAAAAAGCAGGTAGACTTGAAGGAATTGGGTCAAAGTCAGAAGGAGCCAAGTTTGAATGATAAGAAACTGTCCCCTGTGATCAATGGAGAAGCACAGACTTGGACCCAGCCACGGCTCTGCTACCTGGTGAAGGAGGGGAGCAGCTATGGCTTCTCTCTGAAAACTGTCCAAGGTGAGCTTGAACGTGGGGTATGGATAACCAGCTTTGCAGAAGAAAGATATTATCAGTTAATGACTTCTTTAACTTTTTAGTTGCTATGGATATCCTACAGCAGCTTCTGTCTCTCTCCCTCCCTTCCTGGCCCTGTACAATTGTGCAACGAGCAATCAGGACATAGGACAGCAGCATGGGGGGCGTGAGGCAGTGGACACTCCTGTCCCCCAGTGTTTGTTAGGCTGAGCCTTTGAGGCCAGAGAGTTAGCGGGCTGATGCTTGTTATTCTTTTGTAGCTTCCTTAAGGTGAGGGTGGAGGAGAGAATGAGGAATACGAGCTGAGAAAAAGGAGGTTCTTCATAATAGCTACTTTTGAGTTGGAATGATCTCTCTTTTCATCTCTCAGAGTGCCCAGGTGTCATTCATTTATTCAACAAATTCTTGAGCACCTACTGAAGTGTCAGACACTGTTATAGTTGGTAAGGACACTGCAAAAATCCCCACCCTCTTGTGACATTTAAATAGTATTCTCAGCTGTGGCCAAGCCTCAACTATTCTGAGGTGCCTCCCTGACCTCTAGCCGAGAGGTACATAGTGATTTGAAAAACCTCAACCACCAGGAAGACTGGAAGTTCTGTTTCTAGAATTTCAGAGGTGCAGGCTGACTTGTGCTCAGTTGACCACGGTTCTGTAATGGTTTCTCTGGGATCGAGGTTGGAACCATGGGAGCTGTGTTAGTCTGCTGGTTCTACCTCCAGTGTTGCCTCTCCCATGTTCTTTCTGGTACTGGACAGGCACTGGGGGTAGGTCATAATTTGGTAAGTGATAAAGAGCAGACCAACAGTAAACATAAAATTGTTTCCAAGGCTCATTTAACCTGTAGCAAGAGATGTAAACTAGCTACAAGAGGTATTTCTCAATTTTGTCAGGTGGTGGTGAAGGGAAGCTTGGCATTTCTGAGAAGTCCATTATCAGTAAAATGGTAAAAAAATTATAATTCAGATTCTATTCATTTGGCCCTTGTGCTAATGTACACGGTGAATGGTTTAGGGTAGCTTTATGAAGAAAAATATTTTCTTCATGACAATTATATAGCAAAGTAACAGGAGAAATGTTAAATGTTTAAGGAAGCAGAATTTAAGTTACTGTTATTCCTTATAAATGATTTATCTAGGCATTATAAAGCAACCCTTTGCTAGAATGAAATATTAATATTTTGAAAGAATTGACAGCATTTCTTTAAGAACCACCTAAACCATACCACCTACTAATCCAGACTGATTGTATGTGTGTATGCTTTCCCCTCCCCCCTGGGCCTCTGTCCTCATTAGGCTGCAGGTTTATTGACTCCCTCGGTATGTGAGGGCTGGTGATAGTACTAATTAGAGAGGATAGAATGGAGCAGACGCCTTCTAACTCTACAAATGCAAAGAAAGGGAGAATGACAAAATGATGCAGCATGGACACGGTTTGGTACTTTCTGGTTCAAGACACCAGTGCCACCCGAGATTCCTTCTTTGAATTCAGTTGGGCTCAGAAATTCTATTCAAATCAACAAAAACCAACTGAGTAATGACTGTGTCAAGCTTTGTGCTAGAAGCTGTAATTGTAATTCTAGATCAGAAGCCAAAGTCTATTTGAGTTAGTCCTAAAACTAGAAGTTCTAATTTTACATTATTGGGAGAAAACTCTCTACTGTTGGACTTTCTGTGTAACGGAGTTGAAACACTTGTCCACCTCCTGCTCTCCTTCAGGTAAAAAGGGAGTGTACATGACTGATATAATACCTCAAGGTGTGGCTATGAAAGCTGGTGTCCTGGCTGATGATCACTTGATTGAAGTGAATGGAGAGAACGTAGAAGATGCCAGCCATGAGGAAGTGGTTGAAAAGGTATATCCCAAAGGGGTACTTTCCTTATCTTTCACTCTACTCTCAATGGAAGTGACAGCAAGATAGGAGTGATAGTTTATGACGGGAGGAATATAATGGTGGGAAGTTACCCCTTTGTATTAAGAGTGAACAGACTCACTAGTGGTGTAAGCAGTGTTAACATAGGGTTTTGGAGTAAAGACTTTGCCAGTTTTATATTATCTTGAAGAAAAGTATTCTAAAGAACCACTAACTTTATCTTTTGGATCTTATTCTTACCTGATTGGGAGCCCCCTCTGAATTTGTAATAAATTCAATGTTGAGCCAATGTTACTAAAATGTTTCAGTACTAGCTGGAAGATAACCAATGTGGCGATGAATATAGAGCTACACATGAGGAATATTGGAAGGCCTGTTACCCCAAATCTTTCGTCCCAGATGGTTCCATGACACACGGAAAACACTCTGAGGTTTTCCATTGAGGTCATATGGAACCTTGAAAATTGTCCAACCTTATCTTCTCTTGGTAGAATGATCTTTCTTTCAAAGTAGACCTTTATGTTCTTTTCTTTTCCAAACTCCTTTTCTAGCCTTCACCTAAGTACCTTTCTGGGTTTTCTGAATTCCAGCTATCACCTGAGTTCAGTTAGCATTTGTGTGGGTGAAGTCATACTTAACCAAGGGAAAAACAACAACTGTAGAAGTGGAGGTAGGTAAATACCAGTGAGGTGGTAGGAAATAGTATAACAGCTTAAACTCAGGCCTTACTTCCCATGTTTGCTGTTGAATCTACAGACTGCGCCTCTATAGAGACACTTTCCTATTTCCTAGCATCGTTCTTGGAGACTGATGTTGGTCCTCATCTGTGTGTGTTGTTGCAGGTGAAGAAGTCAGGAAGCCGTGTCATGTTCTTGCTGGTGGACAAGGAAACTGAGAAGCACCATAGTGAGCAGAACATAAAATTCAAGAGAGAAACAGCCAGTTTGAAACTGCTACCCCACCAGCCCCGAGTTGTGGAGATGAAGAAGGGAAGCAATGGCTATGGTTTCTATCTGAGGGCAGGCCCAGAACAGAAAGGTAAGGCACTGGAGAGCAAAAAACTCGGCAGTCTGACCATCCAGTTCTTCATCCCAGTCTGACTCAAGTTCCATTAGGCCCCCAACTCCCCACCAGATGCATGAGGGGGGCAGTAAGAAACTAAAAAGCACAGCTGGGTCAGTTACCACGTCACATGGGGGCCTGACGATGGGCATCCCAAGGTTTCCGTACCAGAATGATAAGGCAGAATTTGGTATCTGAGCAGTAGTATGCTGGTAAATTGGATCTCTGAAAAAAAAAGCCCTAATTTGTAGCATTTGTTGACTTTTGTGGTGTAAATACTCCCACCACGTCTGATTCCAAGTTACCAGCATGATGTCACAGAATGCAAAGTTGATAAGTATTGCACAGAATTGGTTCTCATGAGCTGGTGTGAGCCAGCTCAGCACACCACTACATCTGAGGCAGAGGTGTGGGTTGGGATCTGGGACTCAAACAGAATTAGGAGTTTTTATGATTCCTTGTAACTCAGCAGGGAAAGAACTAAGCTCCTCCCAGGGAAGGTGAATACACAAAAGAAGGTGTAGCTTCAGGCCATGCAAACTGTTATTTACCCAGAAGTTGCTATTTTCTTCTCATTATATATGTTTATATTAATTCATCAAATTCTAATTTGGTTCATATTCTATAAAAACATCCTCAGGGCCTTTGAGAATATCAAGCTAATCAGACAGGAATTCTTCAATCAAGGAGGCTCCTATTTAATAGATAAGACACAAATGTCCATAACTTTAGTACATGGGTAGATGAAGTACTGTGGGAATTCAAGGTTATAACAAGCTTTTCTCACTAAAAAGGTACTGGAAGGACTCATAGTGGAGGGGGTGCTCGAGCTCAGGCATTGTAGTTTGAATAGAATTTGGACAAGTAGATGTAGTGGACACAAGGAAGGCCATCCCAGGAAGACAGGATTTGTGCAACCAAAGAAGGGAAACACAGGCACAGTTTGATAGGCGTGTAATGTGTAGTACAGGGCACCAAATTAGAAAGGTGGGTTGAAAAGAGATGATGAAGGAACTTTAATGCCAGGTTGAGGAGTTTGGATTTGGTTCTATAGTCAATTAAGAGTTAAAAGTTTTTTGAGCAGTGTGAGAGACAAGAAAAAATTAAGCCTACAGTGTCTTGGAGGGGTTTTACACATCTCAATTACTCCTAATAATTCTGCAAGAAGAACTGTTGAAATTGAGAGCTTGGAGAGGCTACAGTAATTATATAAGGTCAAATAGTTGCAGTATAACGGGGATCAAACTCAGGTCTGTTTAGTTCCAAAGCCCATGCTCAGGCTGTTGCACTGGAGAGTGACTTGGTCAGACATTGCATCAAGATGAATCTGAAGGCAGATCTGTATTGGAGAAGGCAAGGATTATGGACAGGGAGAGCAACTGGTAAGGTGCTGTAGTAGTTTAGATAGAATTCTAAACAGGAACTAATACAAACTGCATTTAGGGTAGAGGAAGTGTGGGACTAGAGAAGAGGATGTGTGTGAAATATTAAGGTAGCATCGAAGGACTTAGCAGTTGCTTAGATATGGGGAATAGATGCCGAGGAAGAATCAGGGCTAAATGGCAGTGACTCTGGGGGGACAGCACTCCCAATAACAGGTGACCAGAGGAGGGGCTTGGGATGGGGGAGATGGGCAAAGATGATTTTTTGTTTGCATTCATTACATTTGAGGGATCTATGGGATATCCGGTTGGAGATGTCCAGCAGCTAGCTGGAAAAGTGAAACCGGAGCTTGTCAAAATAGTGCGAGGGACAAAAAAAGTGTGTGAGGTCTGGAGTCACGTGGTAAAGGTAGTTCAAGTCAGGAAAAGAAGGCTAAAGACACATCCTTGAGGCATGCATACACAAATACCTTCACAATTGAATATAACCAATTGCTACTAAAATGACAGCATGGGCTTCCTAGGGTCTGAATTCTTTGGTTTTGTTCTTTATTCTTCCCTTCCCCCTTTATGGCTTAGCTTCTACATAAGATATACGGATACAAGGATGCCTGCTGACTTCCCGGGAACTTGCTGACCCTTAATGCTTAGCATGCTAATTTGTCAAGATTGAATTGTCAGATACTTTTAATATCAACATGATCCTTTTTTTTTTTTATAATTTTATTTATTTATTGATTTTTTCCCCCAAAGCCCCAGTAGATAGTTTATGTCATAGCTGCACATCCTTCTAGTTGCTGTATGTGGGACGCGGCCTCAGCATGGCCGGAGAAGCGGTGCATCGGTGTGCGCCCGGGATCCGAACCCAGGCTGCCAGCAGCAGAGTGCACGCACTTAACCGCTAAGCCACGGGGCCGGGCCTCAACATGATCCTTTTTTAAAAGACCCTTTTATTGTTAATGGCTGGGTTTGTTCCTGAAGTGAGTTCTGAGCTGGGAATAAGGCTGGATAGGGTACATACAGGCTTCCTGGGACCCCAGTAGGAGGGACAGTAGCTGTACTCAGCATGCCTTTTATAGCTATTTTATCAGGGCCTTGAGCTCTAGCAGAAATCCCAAGTTTGTTTGTTTTAGGGAGCTTTCTGATAATTTTATTTATTTTATTGGGGGCGGGGGATAGGTCAAGTCATCAAGGACATAGATTCCGGAAGTCCAGCAGAGGAGGCTGGCTTGAAGAACAATGATCTGGTAGTTGCTGTCAATGGCGAGTCTGTGGAATCCCTCGATCATGACAGTGTGGTGGAAATGATTAGAAAGGGTGGAGATCAGACTTCACTGTTGGTGGTGGACAAAGAGACAGACAACATATATAGACTGGTAAGTAATACAAGGCCACATATTCATGTGTTAAGATGTGATCCATTCACTCATGCCATCAAATTTTGGCTAAGTTACCACTTTGATCTTGAAATTAGAAGGGGCGTAACAATCATCATTAATGGTGAATTGAAGCTCAAATTGGTAGTGATAAGAGAATGCCAAGTGATACATAAGTTTTAAGTCCTTAGATTTGAGATTTTGAAAGAATATGCAGATATAACTGCAGAATTACTCTTGATGATTTGAGAAAAACCTATGGAGAACAGGACTGGAAAATGGCAGATGCAGACCTAACTTTCCCAAATAGGGAGCAATTGGATTTTAAACTATAGACCAGTAATTTCCACCAATCCCATGTAAAAGCCTAGAAAGGATTATTAAACAACTTGTAAGCCCTTAGCAAGGGAGTAGATACATGGATTCACCAAAACCAAGTTGTGTCAAACTAGCCTTATTTCCTCTCAACAACTCTTAATCGTAAAACCTATTATCTGCATGTTTTAAGGTTTTTATAATACTTTTATCTTATCACAAGAACTGAGGTTCAATCTAGCTTAACAGACATTTGAAGGCCTTCTAAGTATCACCTGCCTTGCTAAGTGTTGGTCACAAAGAAGAACAAAGTGTTCTATGTGATATATAATAATAGAAGCATCCAGAGGTACATAAGTGATACAGAGGCAGGAATGTTACAAGAGGTGGTAGTGGTATTAGCTTCTTTTTATAGATTAGGAAACTGAAGCTTCAAGAGATTAAGTAATTTGCTAAAGTCACCCAGTTTAGTAAAGACTGAAGCCAGTATTTGAACCCAAGTCCTTAGACTCTTACTTCATTATACCATATTCCCTCTTAGCACAACATTCTGATTAGATATTTCAAGATATGTGTGTAAAGAAGATTAAAGAGTGAACTGGATGATAGAAAAATTAATGGGTTTTTAGTTAGTTGAACAACCATACCTAAAGAATACTTGATATTGGAACAACCTCAACCTGAACAGACGTCTCTAATGGCATGCTACTTGTTCCTATCCTAAGCTAGTTTATTACCAAATTTGGATGGAGACATGGAAAACATATTTAACATACTTAATCATACAGATGACTTAATGTGCTGATGGATAATTAATTTACTATAGAGTATAATTAATATTTAAAATATCTAGTCAGGATAGAAAGAATAGTGAAAACTAGTAAGTTTAAGTTTAAACAGGAATAAATTTTAAGTACTACTTTAACTTAAAAATAAATTGTATGAAGGCCCAGCCCCATGGCTTAGCAGTTAAGTGTGTGTGCTCCGCTACTGGCAGCCTGGGTTCGGATCCCGGGCGTGCACCGATGCACCACTTCTCCGGCCATGCTGAGGCCGCGTCCCACATACAGCAACTAGGATATGCAACTATGACATACAACTATCTACTGAGGCTTTGGGGGAAAAAAGGAGGAGGATTGGCAATAGATGTTAGCTCAGAGCTGGTCTTCCTCAGCAAAAAGAGGGGCATTAGCATGGATGTTAGCTCAGGGCTGATCTTCCTCACAAAAAAAAAAAGAAAAAAAATAATAAATTGTATGAATACCAAATGTGAGACCTGATTTGACGACTATAGAAAAAGACCAGGAACTTGATGATACTCTCTATGTAGCTGCCCCCACCCAAAAGAGGCAAATTTAAAGTTACATTAGTTGACACTTGGCTTTTGCAGATGATCGTATTACTGTACTGAGTTGGTCAGACCAGACTTTAAATAAGTAGGAATGTAATCTTGGGCACATTACCCTCTCTGTGCCTCAGTTTCCTTAGTTCTAAGATGGGGGTAACTACTGTGTAGGGTAGCTATGAGGGTTAAATGAGTTAATATTTAGAGCAGTCAGGATAATGCTTGGCACATATAAATGTTATGTTTGTTAAATCAATATTGAGTCCAGTTCTGAGAACTTCACTTTAGGAAGGCCAGTGACAAGAAAGGTAACTAGGGCAGAGGTTTTAGAAGACACCATATGAGTATTTAGCTTGAACAAGCATAGATTTTGGAGAAGAAAGGAGAACATCTTTAAGAATTTGATAGGCTAAGTGGTAACTATGTTAGGTGATGGATGTGTTAATGCACTTGATTGTGGTAATCATTTCACAATGCATGTGTATATCAAATCATCACGTTGTACACCTTGAATATATATACTTTTTTTTTTTTTGGTGAGGAAGATTAGTCCTGAGCTAACATCTGTTGCCAATCCTCTTTTTGCTGAGGAAGATTGGCCCTGGGCTAGCATCCGTGCCCATCTTCCTCTACTTTTTATATGTGGCATGCCTGCCACAGCATGGCTTGACAAGCGGTAGGTCTGTGCCTGGGATCCAAACCTGCTGACCCCGGGCTGCCAAAGCAGAGCACACGAACTTAATGACTATGTCAGTGGGCCGGCCCCTAAATATATATACTTTTATTTGTCAATCATACCTCAATAAAGCTGGAAAAAATATATGAAACAAAAATTGACACAACTAAAGGGAGAAATATTTCTACGATAATGGGTGGAGACTTCAATATTGCACTCTCAATAACAGAACAACCAGACAGAAGACAAGTAAGGAACTAGAGGACTTGAATAACACAACACAATAAAACAACTAGATCTAGCAGACGTACACATAACACTCTACCCAACAACAGAATACACATTCTTTTCAAGTGAACCCGGGACATTCTCCAGGATAGACCATATGTTAGGCCACAAATTAAGTCACAATAGCCAAAAGATAGAATCAACCCAAGTGTCCACTGACAGATGAATGGATTAAAAAAAAATGTGATACACACACATATATAATACAAGAATTTGAAAGGTTATTACATGTGAGAAGGAGTAGACGTATTTTTGAGGTGTTCTATGGGGCATAGCTTGACCAAACAGAGAAGCTATAGGGAGCTGGCTTTTGGCTTAAGGAGAACCAGCTGCCAGGAACAAGAGGAGCCAATTCTGCAGAGTGGTGAGCTCTCGGCTGGTGAAAAAGGTCAAACAGAAGTCAAGTTACTGCTCTGACTGCTGTAAAGGGGACTCTGGCATTGAGTCCTTTCCAACTCCTCCTGATCTTATGATAGAATGATTAAACTATAACTTTTATGTTTTGGTTAATATAAAAGAGAACTTTGATCTAAAAAGATGCCTGCTGCATCTTCTTCCTCCCTCTTACCCCACCCCCCAAACTAAGTTCCCATAGGTCGGTGGGGGGGAAGGGTTGGATCTTTGAGATTTATCAGTGAATAAAACAAACACCTGTAATAGTTCCTGGCACATACTAGACACCCAAATATTTGCATGAAGAATGAATAAAAACTCATTAAGTGTTTAATGTTACTGTACTTTGCCTCAAGATCGGCTGCTACTGTCAGATACAGTTGATTTGTTTGTGTAATGCTGTCAGAGGTATTTTTGCATGTAATGAGTCACTTGGATAATTTTCCACATTTTAAAGAGAGAAAGAAATGTGGCACATTTGCAAGTATATCACCAAAAGGTCTCAAGTTAGTTGAATTGGGTAACTAGGAGGTTCTGTGCTGCTGCTACTCTCGTTTAGAAAGGAAGATGTGGTCTTGTGGTTAGTAAGGCAGAGGATAACCAGAGGACCCCAAATCTAATTTTAGCCAGGCTGCTGAACAGTATGATTTGGGACACAGCACACATTGTACTCACCTTCAATTGCTTGCTTTTCTACTCATTGCCTAACAAATGTCCTGGACACTTATGGGCAGCAATTTAACTTCTGATCCAGGATCTTACCATACCCCAAATCTACCTTTTTAACCCTCTCAACTAAAACCCATAGCCAGCTAAACTCTTAATTCTATAAAAAAAATCAGTCATATGTTTCTTGTTCTATGCCTCTTCTGTATTTAAGACCATCCGTCTTCACATGGATGGTCTGGGAGTTGAGATGGATTAGAAGTATTTAAAGATGGTCAGGAGTTTAGCATAACAGAAGTGTCAGCTAATGGTTACAACAATAAATAGTAAAATAGAGTACAACAGATCACAGGACTGGAAGGGGAGTGGGAAAAGCAAGTAGCAAATGATTGGAATTAACTTCTGTTACCATATGTAACCATCTGATAGCCACCACCCTCTTCCCCTTCCCCCCAATTAATTACTGTGTGTACTTCAGATAGTGACAAAAATAGTCTTGTGTTTCGCTTTCTCTACTGTGTTGAAGGAACTCTGAAGACCATCTTACTGAAGGGGAAGGGCCAGATGAACCTACTTTGCATGAGATACTAGGCAAGTCACTCAATGTGTGTAATCTCTCAACAGGGAGATGGCCTATGGTTGTTCAGTGACTTGCTCACTATCACAGAGTCAGAAGAAACTAGCAATTCTGTTAGACTCATTTTTGTAAAACATACTGTATTGCTTTTATTTTAAGTATATTGCATGGGTTTACATGTTTATACACATTACTCCATAACCACGCTCAATCTTCCTTTATACCTTTTCTGGTTGGGGTAGTAGAGAAATTTTACAGCCCACAATCAGATGTATCTGGAAGAGAAGTGGAACATGTATGACACCTTGTAAATTAAACCAGCATGTTTAATAAAGTGTAACTACTCATACCTAAAATTAATGGGTTTTTTTCCTTTCCTTTCAAAAGGCTCATTTTTCTCCATTTCTCTACTATCAAAGTCAAGAACTGCCTAATGGTTCTGTCAAGGAGGCTCCGGCTCCTACTCCTGCTCCTCTGGAGATCTCAAGTCTGGATACCACAGAGGAAGTAGGAGATTATAAACCTAAACTCTGCAGTCTGGTTAAAGGTGAAAATGGCTATGGCTTTCACTTAAATGAGATTCGGGGTCGGCCAGGCTCATTCATCAAAGAGGTATGGTAATCTGGTTCCAGCAGCCCAATGAACACAGACACAATTAGGAGAATCTCAGTTTCTCCCACCTATTGATGGCTTAGTAAAAAGGTTACATTGAAGGCCTACATTGAGGGTCTCACCTGGGTTCAAATAAATGCTGTCATGGTCCCATACCCTTTAGATAGCTACTAGTACATCTTAAGCTCACATCTTTTGTTTCTTAAAGATCTGTTCCACCTAATTGTCTCTTTTGATACTTTCAAATCAAATAAACACAGTGAGTTGACATGACTATAGCTGACAATATCAACTCTGACTGGGAGTGATACTTGTTTGCTTCTGTGCATTTGGCCTAATGCCCTTATCCTGTGGGGACTGACAGTGAGAAGACTATCCCTAGAGCTCTCAAGTTGGGAATGAAGAAGGGGGACTTATGAAATCTAATGCCTTCAACCCAGAAGACATACAATATGATAGTCAACCACTGTAACACTATTCATTTGAGTATTGAAGTTGTTGCTTTCATAAGCAGAAAAGCATTAGAGCGCCTTTCTTAACTTCTGTACCTCAAGAAGAAATAATAACATGGTTAAGAATAAAATTTCAAACTCCTCATCTCTCCTCTGAAGGGAAGCTAGTCTAACATTCCCTTATCCACGTTTGGAAGTGATAACTGAGAACCTCTATTCACAGGTACAGAAGGGTGGCCCTGCCGACCTGGCTGGGCTGGAGGATGAGGATGTCATCATCGAAGTGGATGGTGTTAATGTGCTGGATGAACCCTATGAGAAGGTGGTGGACAGAATCCAGAGCAGTGGAAAGAACGTCACGCTCTTAGCCTGTGGAAGGAAAGCCTACGATTATTTCCAGGCTGAGAAAATCCCTATTGTTTCCTCCATGGCTGATCCACAGGACGCCCCCTCTGATTCCAAAGAGGGAACACTGGCGGAGTCAGAGCAGGACTCACACATGGCAAAAGAACGAGTGAGTGCTGACACGTTTCTGTTAGTAACCTAACTTACCAGAGTACGGTCAAGTCCTTAATGAGTGTGCCTCATGTCCATGTTTACCACAGATTTCCTAAAATACTAGAAAATTACAATGTAAAGATAACTAGCAAATCAAGTTATCAAGGAGGAGAGGAAGTAGTATAAGGATGACAAATTTCTTATTTTTCATAGCATGGAGTTGACAGTAACTGTCTAGAGTTGATAGATCAAGAAATAACAGATGAAGTTTATCAAAATTATAATGGCAACCACGAGAAGAACCTGAATCAAACTATCTACATAGAAATTCTAGTTCTGCCACTTGTCATCTGCCAAAACTTGCCTTGGGCAAATGGATTTAGTCTCTCTGTGCCTCAGTTTCTCCACCTATAAAGCAAGGATAATTTGTAGGATTGTTATCAGGATTACATTAACTAAGACTATTAAAGTGCTTTGAACAGTGCCTAGTTCACAGTAAGTGTGAAAATGAATGGTGGTGGTTACAGACAGTATTGTTTTTAAAATAACTGGCAGGTATTAGAGTTTTATTACTGGGAAAGAGTAAGCATTATTCTGTATATATTTGGATTGGATAAATTTCTTGGTCTCAGTTTTATATTTTTGTCCAATTTCTTTTCATAGATGAACTTGAGGTCTAAAAGAGAACTGACCTATCCAAGTTCATAAAGGAAATATATAGCAAAACTAAGACTCTAACAGTTTTATATTCTTCTTCTTTCCATTACATTTAATTCTACTGATTGGTAATATAAATAACAAATACTAATTTTTAATGACTACACAGTATCTTAGTCCATTTGGGCTGCTATAACAAAATACTATAGACTGAGTGGCTTATAAACAACAAACATTTCTCACAGTTCTGGAGATTTGGTGTCTGGTGAAGGCCCTCTTTGGGGTTGCAGGCTGCTGACTTCTCCGTGTCCTCACATGGTTAGAAAGTGCTAGAGAACTCTGGGAGACCTCTTTTATATGGGCACTAATCCCAATCATGAGGGCTTTGCCCTCATAAGCTTATCACCTCCCAATAGCCCTACCTCCTAATACCATTACCTTCAACATGAATTTTGGGGACATGCAAATATTCAGAGCCAGTCCTGGTGGTTCTAGTGGTTAAGATTCAGTGCTCTCACCGCCGTGGTCTGGGTTTGTTTCCGGGTTAGAGAACTACACCACCCGTCTGACCACCCGTCTGTCATACTGTGGAGGCTGCATGTTGCTGTGATGCTGAAAGCTATGCCACTGGTATTTGAAATACCAGCAGGGTCACCAAAGTGGACAGGTTTCAGCAAAGCTTCCAGACTAAGACAGACTAGGAAGAAGGACCTGGCCACCCACTTCTGAAAATCTGGCCATGAAAATCCTACGAATAGCAGCGAAGCATTGTCTGATATGGTGCCAGAAAGTGAGAAGATGGTGCAAAAAGACCAGGCAGGGTTCTGCTCTGCTATATACAAGGTCACTGGGAGTCAGAATTGACTCGATGGCACCAAGAACAACAACAAATATTCAGACCATAGCACACAACAGCCATTGACCTTGTATTCTGGATTGCTTAACAAAGAAAGTATTCTAGTTGTCTTTAAAAATTCTGTATCATCTCCACAGGAAGTCAATTATAGTACTATGCTAGCTTTATAGAAAAGAAATATACATAGACATTAAGAAACTTAGTGTCAAACAGCAAGCTGAAAATAAAACCAAGTGTAGAATTCAGGTCACCTGCCTTCTAGTGAGTGACTCTACCCTCTGACTTAAGTCCTGCAACTCTAGAATAGATCAGCCATCTCCTGATGTTCACACTCTACCACTTACAGATCTTCTGTTTTCTTTTGCATAGGCTGACAGTACCGCTTCTCATTCTTCTTCTAATTCTGAAGATACGGAGTTGTGATGAGAATAAATAATGGCTTTGGCTGATAGCTGTTTCTGGGTATTTAATAGGAATCTTTTCCCAAGGAATGAGCTGCTGCCCATGTACTGTCTCTATTAGAAGAGAACTCCTCTGGAAGCCAGTTCATTGCGTGTGATTGTCTTAGGGGCAGCTATGGCACATGGCTTATTTATGGTCAACTTAGGAAAAGTTAAGGCAGGAGCCAGATTCTTTTCATGTGATCTCTTTCAAGCTTCAACTTACCTATATTTCTCTGTATGATGATATCTCTTGCTTCTACAGGCTCCTTGAGCACCAAAGATGATTCATAAATCTGTATATGTGAGAGCTGCTAATTGAAGTATCTGAGCATATAAGACTATTAAAATTATGCTTTTGTAAGAATGTTGCTGTTGCTAAAATAAATACCATTAAAAATGCCTTTTGAGTATGCTTGAAGCTTCCTTGTTAGCTGACATAAACCTTAATCATGCTTCTGTTTTCGGTAAACTTTTTATGCTTTAACCTTCATTTTGCCTCTAGAAATCCAAAACACAATAAAATTCAGAATAAGATCTTAGTAATAAAAAGAGACTTCCTGGTAATAAAATTTAAGATTTTCTTAAATTGCATTTCTGAGTATTCTACAAATTTTCCAACATCTTCTTTCTACAGATGAAGTAATTGACTCCCAGGATGGGCAAGTGACTTTTTCTAGTTAACTGTTATTCATTGTTTTACCCCTCAGTATGAGGGGCAGATGGAAAGAAAAAAATGAGACATCACTGAATTGAATGTATTCACTCTTAAATAATACTAAGTTAAAAGGAAATCAAGAAAAATGACTTACTTCAAGTCTCTCTTGGTATAGGCTCTATTTCAGTTGCACACCATCCCTTCCCCAGAAAAAACAGATAACCTCTTGGTTATTTTAATGACGCCAGGGTTGGGGGCAGGGGGTGGGACGCCAACTCACGTTAGACCACACAAGCATAATACCAAGCTATCCTTGATAAAATGAAGCCAAGGCCAAAGTGTTACAATCTCTGATTTTAATGACAGACAATCTCAAGGGAAAGCCATAACCTTCTGCATGTGAACCTTGACTTAAACAGAAATTCTATGTGTTTGGCCCAGCTACCTTATACTTCTCTTACCCCAGAGTTCCAGTGTATTTTTCCCCCAATTTCTTGGCTCTTTTCCACTCCCCCCCCCCCACACTGCACCAGCCTTAAACCACACAGGATGCTCTTGGCTGAGTACTAGCTCGAGTTACTTTGCTCTCTCACATTCTAGCTGATGCTACTCATGATCACAGTATCACCGGAGGAGGAAGGTATAAACCGGAGGTTGAACATGCTACCACAGCCTTTTGTTCATTTAAAAAATGTTAGGCCCTGGTGCCCTCCATTTTTTCCCTTTAATATCCAAATCCTGAAACCACTAGCTTACAGCAGTCTGTAATAAGCATGAGTTCAAGGTGCCATATGCTTCTCTGGTGCCTGTTTGTGAGCCAAATAGAGGAACAGTATGCTGGAGAGAGCACTGACCAGGAAGATCACATCAAACCAACGGTGATAGAAGTTGAACTGCAGTTCTCCAAGGACTTCGGTGATTATGGTGCGGTATTCTAGAGGCATGCTCATTCGGATCAGCAGTACAGAGGACACAAAGTACATGCCCTGTAAGTCAAACAAATTAATCCAGAAGTCACTTTGAATGTAGTGAGGGACAGGTCAAAGGAAAGTGTTAAAATATTTAAACGTATAAAACACATTCCTGGTATTTTGCAGCTGTAAACATAAAGCTAGTTCATTAAACTTACCATTATCTGTGCTAATAGCAGGACAATGACATTGGAGGACTTACTGCTGGAGATGGCATAAAAGAACTGTCAAAAAAGAGAGGAGAGATGAATTTATACAGTACTGCTAGATTCCTGTGTCAAGAACATTAAGTAGCATGGTTAACATTTAATTAACTGTCTCTTCCATGCCACAATCCTGTATAGAATAATTTATATGATTATATGATTCTTTATAGAAAGAAGAGACTTAGACTGCCGAAACAGGATCCAGTTATAGTTTTCCCATAGGGATAGTTGGTGGTTTTAAGTATTACATATAACATGAAAGGATTCTGAGGGCTGTCAAACTTTTCAGAAACTATGTCAAACATATGACTTTGACATCACTATAAAACATTAAAACAGATTACTCCAGGCCACTCCAAGCCCTTGTAATTGTTACTAGGCTCCTGAGCTCTTTCCATTGTGCTAGATGCCTGGAGATCCCTTCTTTTTCCCTTCCAACCTCTTCTGTCCTTTCATTTAAACAACTCTTGGATCTGGAAATTCCTACCTTTTCTACGAGAGAGGACTCATCTTCCACCTCCATGAAGCCTTCCTATGTTGATCAGAAAACAGCTAAACATTCTGCTTCTCCTACTTCTATATCCTCCTTACAAGTGACTCTCATAGTTATTTTTCTAACCTCAAATACCTATCTCATTCATTCATTCCAAGTATCTGCTGAGTATCTACCATGTGCCGGGTTCTGTTCTAGATGCTGGTGACATATCAGTGAACAAAACAAACAGTGATCTAATTCTATGACCTTTGGTAAATATATTTATCTGATTGGTATATGATGTAAATAGATCATCATCAATTTATGTATTTAACTTTTCTTTTATTCTGTTGTATAAATATCTGTCTGACTTTTAAATATTTGTGACTGTTGTTTAAGATCTCCAGAAGGCAGAAATCTTAGTTAGGTAAAATTATCTCATGGTGCCACACATAATTAAACAAATAATAAGTACGTTTTAACTCTGTGATACAATATACCTTGGTAAGAGTGATCAGCAATCCTCGGATTGATGTGACAATGATTATTCCAACCAGAATGAAGGAAATGTGTTGGGACCAGAACTTCACCTGTGACCATAATAGGAAAAAAAATATGTTAAATCTCTGTTCAGAGAGATGTGAAGGCTAAGAAGATGCATTCTGATTGCCTGTGACTGTGAGATGGAACTTCATTAGGCCCTACCTGATTTTTAAAAATTTTTTAGGGCAAGAGGAAAATGAGTAAATGGCGACTGAAACACCGATAGGAAGACTGCAGTGGGTATCTTAATCAGCAGACCTAATCAAGACTTAAGGACAGAAGAAAGCAAGCGCAGTGAAGGGATGAAAATAACACTAATAAATCAGAAAAGCTAGTGATATAGCTTCAATGTGCTAAGTAAAAAACACAAATTAAAAGGAAACTAAATAGCAGCTTGATTATTATTTTTTTTTGGTGAGGAAGATCGGCCCTGAGCTAATATCCTTTGCTAATCCTCCTCTTTTTGCTGAGAAAGATTAGCCCTGAGCTAACACCTGTGCCCACCTTCCTCTATTTTGTATGTGGGACGCCGCCACAGCATGGCTTGATGAGGGGTGCATAGGTCTGTGCTCAGGATTCGAACCTGTGAACGCTGGGCCGCCAAAGTGGAGTGCGCGAACTTAACCACTATGTCACTGGGCCGGCCAGTAGCTTATTTTTAATATTTGTGAATGACAGTCCTCTGATCACCCAAAGCTTTAAGGATTTTTTCTTTTTATAATAAAAGAATATATAGGCATTCTCAGCTATGGTCTAGGAAATAGGTGACCTTCATTTGAACCACATGCTGATGCCTTTTTCTCCCGTGGGACTGCTTAATAGTGAGAGGCAGCTTTGCAACCTTGTGCTTGATTCAGGTCTGAGAAGCATCTGAGGGGGGAGCTGTTATTACTAACATCTAACAGATGTTATTTAGAATTATGAAATATAGAGTATATAGATGAATTATAGATGGAATATATATACATACACAGCAACTAAATAGCCTCAGAAAGTACTGGTAAGAAAGAGCATTTCTAAAAATTCAGCCCAGGAAAAAATTTAAAAGAGGAAAACACACATGCAAGAAGAGTGAAGTATCCTTTACAGTATAATTTATATACCACTTGAAGGATAGATACCATGTTCCTTTACATGAAAAAGGATACGCTATTGATCTATCATCAAAAAACACGTGCTCTGAGCTGTTTCTCAAGGACTGGAGCTCAATTTGCTCTGGTTCATTTTCATTTTATCTAGCTACCAGAAGCATGTCCAGCTGAGATGGAGGGCTAGCGGGTAGCATGCAGTCTGTGGCAAGAATCATAGCACAGCTAAATGGCCCTCAGGGGACTAATAACATGACAATGATCTTATTAACAAAGTGCTAATCAGCCAGAATCATTCGCCATATATATACCTATAAAATATACTATTCTACAAATAAAGACATTAAACGTAAATCGGACAAGAGTGTGTTTCATGACAGTGGTGTTATAAAACAAGTAGAGAGATGATTTAAAAAAATTTGTCCACAGGTTACAGTAACCATGTTGAGCTCAAAGTCCACATTAACTAAATTATAAAGATAATTTTTTACAGCAGAAATCATTTCAGTTCTAACACGGAACACTAATTAGTAGTTAATTTTCTACCAGAGGAATCAAAGGTGAGTTGTGTCTTTGAAGATCTCATCAAGTATCTCAGAGAGAAGTATCTGAATATTGGGTGGGGAGAGACTGGTGTAGCTGGCTACAGAGAAGCAGAGGAGGAACTACAGAAATAATCAGCATCTTTGACAATAATAAGTACCAGTCATGACTTACAGTTTTATGCCCTTTACAAATTTGCGATATGAATATGTCAAAATATACAAAGGATAGTGGGAAGAACAAAAGCAGAATCAAGTACCTATGGTAAGGAATTAGAATCTTAACAACTGTAATTTATAGAAGATAAAATAGAAGAAACATAACAACAAAAGAAACACAACAAACCAGGATCTTCACACAACTCTTACATCAAATTGGATCCCCAGATAATTCACAGTGATCTCAATGCCTCTCGTGACTGGATCAGTTTTCCCAACTCGGTCAAAAACGATATTGATGGTTGCCTGCAGAGACACAGACCTTCACATTAGAGCACAACAGTAGTTATTTACTATTTCAAAAAGTGGTTCAAAATAATGAATTAATCACTACAACATATCTTATAGGTGGATGTTCCTAAAAATGCAATTCTACTCTCAATCCAAATCATATATAAGAAATCTATTTTGGCCATTCACATATAGGCAAACAAAAGTCCCTATCTACCCAATATTTCTTTTCTATAAAGAGTCAAGGGGAATAAGGCTATGGCATATACATCTTAATTTATCAGGAGCCAGAAAGGTAACATTGTGATAGACGAAGTCAGAGTAACAGAATCAAGGAATTCCAAGGTCATTCCCTGTGGTTATTTCTGAATGCTCTAAGAGCAATCATTAAAATAAGAAAAAGAGTTATAGCTAACAAGCCAGTTATAGTTAGTCATGTTAGTTAGCTAACAAGTTATAGCCAGCTTGTTAGTTATAGCCAACAAAAGAGATCAAATGGAATTAAGAAAAATATCCAATTAATCCAAAAGGCAGCAGAAAAAAAGGAAAAAGGAAGACAGAACAAATCGGACAAATAAAAAGAAAATAGCAACGTGGTTGTTTTAAACCCAACCCAACCATATCAATAATCACATTAAATGTAAACGGTCTAAACC